CTGGCCCCGCCCCGGCCCCGCCCCCCGGACTCCGCGGCCAATCACGTGTGGCCCCGCCCGGGCACGAGGCTCTGTTAAAATCCCTGCCCGGCAGGACTACCCCGGAGCTGGGCAGCGTCGGGGTCCGCTGTTAGCCAGTGATTTGTGCTGGTGCAAAGGGCTGTTCAGGTGTCCCGGGTTTTTGATTGGGGTCTCCATTGTCTTTCCATACACAAGCCATCCTCATGCCGGCGACAAAAGAATGGTGGAAGACTGGACAGGGCTGTGGCTTGGAAGAGTGGAAGCAAATTTCATTCCAGTTTGTCAGTTTTGTGATCTTGGTCATGTTGTGTGTCCTTAAATGAGCTCATCTATTCTTTCACAACCCATCTGGGACCTGTCTGGACAAGAGACTGAAGAGGAACCTCCTGGAGTGTGGGTGTATGTAAACCGCTTGGATGTTTATGATTTACCATGTGTGGTTTGGTTTGGTGTTTGGTTTTTGGTTCTGGGGGTTGAACTGAGGACCTTCACACTAAACTACATCCCCCCAGCACGCCCCTTTAAAAAAAGTTTGAGGCAGGGTCTCCCTAAATTGCCCAGGCTGGCCTGGAACTTGCATTACTCCGACCTCAGCTTCCCAGAGTGCTGGGATTACAGCATGCACCACCAAAGTTTACTATAATTTCTGTTTTTTAAAACGTGAGTCCAGAGATTGTGTGACTACCCAAGGACACACAGCAATCCCTTGAGAACCCCAAGACCAGAGTCCAGTTGCTGTGACACTGTGGCTTCAGGCTTGATGCCTTACCTCTGACACAGAAAACCCGCAGGAGAGACTTGTGCTGAGAAAAGCTAAAATGGCTGACACTGAGGCTCCAACCTAGACCGTGGTTCATAGACCAGACAGTAATTTAGGATAATCTGGAAGGAAAGGTGAATAAGGGACGAGAGAGGAGATAGTCTATACAGGATAACAGTGCTTTTTTTCTTCACTTCGGTAGTGGGGATTGAACCCAGGGCTTCACACATGCTGAGAAAGCCAAGCCACACCCTGAACACTTAAAAATTTTTTTGGCACTTTTGCAATACGTGTAACAAATACATTCATCGTGGGAAGTTGGCCTGGAACTTTCAATTCCCTTGCCTCAGCCTCCCACCTAGCTGGGATTATGGGCATTTGCATTCTTTTCAGCTACTGTATATTTTTGTAAGAGAAATTTTTATTTTCAGCCGGGCATGATGGTGTATGCTTGTTGCTTGTAATCTCAACACTGGGGAGGCTGAGGCAGGAAGGTTGCTTCTAGTTTGAGGGCAGCCTAGACTACATTGTGAGTTCAAGACTAGCCTGAACTACACAGTGAGACCCTGTCTCCAATAAAAATAAAAATAAAATGCAGGGTGTGGTGGTGCACACCTGTAAACCCAGCACTGAGGAGACTGAGGTAGGAGGATTGCCTCATAGTATATAGTAAGTGCTACTACATAGTAAAGTTAAGGGCAGCCTGGACTACATAGCAAGCCCTTGTCTCAGAACACCAAAAAACAAATGAAAGACCTCACAAGTAGCAGCAGAATCAAAGAATTATCTTTCTTTTTATTGAGTTTATTGGTACATTCTAGGTATACAGTACAGTTACATTCATTACTGGGATCTTGTACCTTTACGTGATTTTTTTTTTTTGTTTTTTTGAGACAGGGTCTTACAATGCAGTTGAGGTTGGCCTTGAACTTGTAATGATCCTCCTACCTTAGCTGCCTGAGTGCTGGGATTACAGGCATGTCCCACCACACCTGGCTTCAAAGATTTATTTGAAATTGAGAGTACACTCCAAGCCTGGTGTAGTGGCACATGCCTGTAATCCTAGCACTCAGGAGGGAAGTTGAGGCAGGAGGATCACTCTGAGTTTGAGACCAGCCTGGGCTACATAGTGAGTTCCAAGTCAGTCTCAACTACATAGTGAGACCCTGTCTCAAAATACAACAACAAAAAAAAAAAAGAAAGAAAGAAAGAAAAGAAAGCACATCCAGAGTGGGATCTACTAAGTGAGCAGAGCTCAGCCCTGAAGGGACGTGATGAAAGAAACTGTTGCCTGCCGAAGATCACTCCACACACCGACAGAGCTCCTGTGAGCGATTTACTGTAGAGCCGCTGGGACACAGGGGCCCGCTCTGCGGAGGAAGAGAGAGCTGGGTGGAAGGGGCTTGGTTACTAGTGGGTGGCTGGTGTAAGCGGGTCGGGGAGTTGCATCAGCTGCGCGGGCAGCCACTCAGGGGTCATTATTTGTGATCCATCCCTATATGGACAAGCCTTGCTTGCGCGTCGGTTTCTCTTATGGACGATGAAATGGAAATTTAAATTATAAAATGGCGGTCGCTAACCAAAATGGCGACAGCTGTATCAAGGCAGTTATCTTATACTTGGTGCTTAGGGTTTTGAGCATTAGGATTTGGGTTGGGATTGAAAGGTTGACCTGATGTTTGACTCAGAGCGGCTTGGTTTGGCTCTCCTGGAAGTCAGTGGTTTTTCACCTTTTATGGCCCTTGGAAGAACTGTCAGTGTCCAGAGCCCACGAGGGTCAAATTGGCTCAGTTGATGTGATGGTAATTAGGGCTGGGGTCAGCCAAGTCATTGCTGAAGACCACTGGGCTCATACTAAAGACTTACAGTGTACAAGCTAAGTTACCTGGTTATTTCTCCCAGTGTACTCTGGTCCTGGCCTAACGTTTAACTTCCAGGGTGGATCTAGCCTAGAAAGTGGGCTCCAAGGTGGGTCCTCCCTTCTTTTGCCAGCTGTTTCTTTGGTTGCCTCCTGCCTCAGTGTGCACCGAACTTGTTTGACTAATTCCTACTTAATGTTGGTGCTGTGCCATGTGCCAGGCCTCGTGGTTTGGCTCCACTTTGTGTTGCAGTGGCCACTTTAGGGACACAGGACAAACCTGGCCCCTAAGCCTGTTACTCATTAAAAGCCTCTGAAGACCTGTGCGTCCTCCCGTTTCTCAAACTGCAGTCTTTCCCCTGACTTCGCTTGCTTTCCTGTGTTAGGAGACAGGATCTTTGTCAGAGCTGTGTTATCCTCTTTAGTTTTTGGGTTTTTTTTTTTTTCCAGTACCCGGGGTTGAACTCAGGCCCTTGCGCTTGCGAGGCAGGTGGCAGAACCACTGAGCCAAACCCCACCGCAATTTTTTTATTTTGTTTTTTGAGGCAGGGTCTATGTAGTTGAGACTGACCTGGAACCCACTATGTAGCCCAGGCTGGTTTCAGATTGGAGTGATCCTCCTGCCTCAGCCTCCCGAGTGCTGGGATTACAGACGTGCACAACCACGACTGGCTTTCTTATTTTTAATTAAAGATTTTTTTCCTATAAGTTTATATTGTTGCTAGTTTTTTGTTTGTTTGTTTTTTGGTACCGGGGAGCAAACTCAGGATCTTGCGCTTGTGAGGCAGCAGCGACACCACTGAACCACATCCCTGTCCCCTGTTGCTATAGTTTTGATTTCCAATATTACTAAAGCAAGGACTCGTGGCAGCTGGGGACATCCCCAAGTGGGGAACTTTCTGTCTCCCAGGTTAGCTGGCTTCAGGCTTGGGTTTAACCAATGGGAGACAAGGAAGGAAAAAGCCAGATGTCTGCTTCTCCAGTACCTTGCATTTAATTCTCTCTGTAGTTCCTATTTTTCTGCTTAAACCCTAGGTAACAGCCAGATATGATCCCAAGACATTTAGTGGACATTATTTCTTGGTCCTTTCAAGCCTTGCAGTAGATCATATTGTCCATGTTTTGTACAGCAGCAAGGATTAAAGGGTTGAATGACTTGCCCAAGATAACAGGAAGAATACTATTTCATCAAAACTAGGATGAACCTTTCCCCCTCTGTTGTAATATCTCTGAAATAAGGTTGCTTTCTACAATCACCATCAGTGTGAAGTTTTAGGAATATCAAGAGAGTAAGGGCTGAGAGTACAGCTCTGTGGTAGAGAGCTTGCCTAGCAACCCCCAGGACTCAAAACAAGACAAAACCCCAGATTCTGAATTTCTATTTCTTTCTTTTGCAGTGCTGGGGTTCAAATACAGGGTCTTGAGCTACTATGCAATCACAGAGCTGTACCCTTTCTCTCTCTTTCTTTCTTTCTGTACTGGGGATTGAACCCATGTTCTTTGCACTTAGCTACATCTCTATACTTTTTTTTTTTTTTTAATTTTGAGATAAGTCTTACTAAGTTGCTGTATTGCCCAGGCTGGGTTCAAACTTTCAGTCTTCCTTGGGCCAGAGATTTAGCTCAGTGGCTCTACTGAGTGCCTCGAAAGTGCGGGTCTGGAGTTCAACCCCTGATATTCCCCCAAAAAACAAAAACAAAAACAAAAAAAATTGCAATCCTCCTGCCTCAGCCTCCTAGAGTGATATAATTATAGGTATACACCATCACACCTGGCCTCACACTATCTCTTGACAGCATTCAGTCTAGATTGGGTCCCACTTCTCTAATCCCTCCACAGCACTGTAATTTAAGGAGTTTCCCCAGAGCACCCTGAGAGTTCCCTAGGGTCTTTACCTCAGCAAGCTAACCCTAACCTAATTTTTTTTGTTACAGGTGTTTTTTTTGTTTTGAATTTTACGTTTTGTTTTTTCTGGACCGGGGATTGAACTCAGGACCTTAAGCTTGTAAGGCAGGAGCAGCACCACTGAGCTAAATCCCCAGCCCCTAAAGGTGTTTTCTTGGCGGTCTTTGCTCACTTTATTTTGCTTAATTTTCATTTTCATGTATATGAAGGATAGATAATAAAAACATATGAAAATATTGCTAAGTCTAAAAGAGTTTATTTTTTTAAGAGTTTGTTTATTGTTCTCTTGAGACAGGGTCTCACTATATAGTTCAAACTGGCCTTGAACTCACTATATCCCCCATGCTGGCCTCGAACTTGCAGTGATCTTCCTGCTTTAGCCTCCCAAGAGCTGGGATTGCAGGCATGCACTACCACACCTGGCTCTTAAAAGAGCTCTTTTAAATAATTATAAAATAGGCGGGGCGTGGTGGCTCATCCCTGTAATCCCAGCATTTGGGAGGCTGAGGCAGGAGCATTGCTGTGAGTTTGAGACCAGCCTTGGCTATGTAGTGAGTTCCAGGTCAGACTCAGCTTCATAGTGAAACCCTGTCTCAAAAAAAATAAAAATAAATAAATAAATAAATAAACCAATGTTTGTAATCTGGGATATAATGTGGACATTTCTCAGCTCCTTATTGTTCTGATTTCTTTGCTAGCGTTTAACAACGTGTTATGGGCCCACCTTCTTACCAGTGTTTGCAATCTAAGAGACAATACCAACTAAGGTATGTGGGAATAGAGCTAGAGGAACTATATAAGACAGTAGATCCTCTTGTCACCCATAAAGTTCTAGATTTAACGCAGCATGTGTAAAGGCAGGAGTTCAATCCAGTTCTGTTACCCACTGTTCTTGCTCCCAACACTGCAGTCCAAGGCTGCCTCTGAGGGAGGTGTAGCGGTTGAGTGAAAGAGTAGGTACCGTTAACTTTATTATGGATGTGAAGAAACCAAGCCAAACAATGAGCAAATCCCAGATGTGACTCTGTCTGCCTGCTGGGCTCAGCTTCTTCATGGCAGCACCTGCCACTGGAAGGCAGCATTCGCAGTGGCTCTGAAGAGACCCTCCGGGCTGGGCTTACGGGGCATTCAGGGCTCCTCAGCATTATAGGAGCCCTTGAGGAAGTATGAGCACTGTAATTGTCGATTTGGTCCTAGGGGAGGAGAGAAGGTGGAGCTGGATTCAACAAGTTATATCTTCTGATTTAGCAAATTTGGTCTTGGAATATGAGGTGATTAAAATGGGCAGGACAGCCTGGAGTTGGGAGAGATGGGAATGAATTGCTTGGGATTCGGTGATTAACAATTCCAGGCCACCCAAGTTGAAGGAAAAAAGGTTTATGTTGGCTTACAGTTTGTAGAAGTTTTAGTTCACAATCAGCTGGCTTCAAGGCAGAGTGGTGTGGTAGAGGAGAAACAGTCCATGGTGAGGAGGCAGCAAAGCAGCAAGCAACAGCAGCCTTGCCTTCCCTCTCCCTTTGTATTCCACCCAGGCTGTAAACCTATTGATTGGTGCCACCCACGTTCAGGGTGGGTCTTCCATAATTCACACCCAGAATTATGCTTGAACGCATTTAGTTGTCACACGCCTCTAATTCCAGTATCACACACCCTAGATCCAACCACCTGTGAAGAGCTCCATGTATGAGTGCATGAGGCTTTCGGGGGAGCATCTAGATACAAGCCTTAACACAGAATTTTATCCTCAGAACCAAAACAACAACATAAAACAACAAACTAGCTGGAGACAGTTGTAGTTCCAGTTACTGGGGAGGCTGAGGCAGAAGGATGGCAAATTCCAGACCAGCATGGGTTAAAAGTTAGTGAAACCCTGTGTCAAACTAAAAAGGTCTGGGGATGTAGGTCAGTGGTAGTGTTTGCCTAGCGCACACAAGGCCTGGGGTTCAATCCTCAGTACTGAAGAAACAAGCAAACTAAAAAAACCTTAGCAGACTCTCATTCTTAGGTGAAATTTTATTCAGTTCACACATATTGTCAAAAGTCCATTTTCTCTTGCCTTAGCTGGGACACCTCGGTAAGGAGGGTTGTCACACCGTGTTGTAGTATCCATAATATTGGTTTGCATATTCCAGTCCTTCATTGTCTAGGGCTCCTAAAAGTTGAGTCCTTTTTTTTCCTTTTCTGTTCTTTCAGTATTGGGATTTGAATCCAGGGCCCTCACAATGAACTATATCCCAGTTCTTTTTTTTTTTGTGGTACTAGGGATTGAACTCAGGATCTTGCACTTGCGAAGTAGGTGGCTGAACCACTGAGCTAAATCTCAGGCACCCCGCTAGTTCTTTTTGTTTGTTTCTTTTTTATTTTGAAGTAGGGTCTCACTGAGTCACTAAGTTGCCTGGGCTGGGTTCAAACTTGTGATTGTCCTGCCTCAGCCTCCCAGAGTGTTGGGATTACAATGTTACCAGGCCTGGTGCAGGTCCACTTCCGGTCCATCTTTGTAGCTTCAGCATTGGTCCAGGACCTGTGGTGTTGGCCTGCTCAGGGCCTGTACTTCAGGGTTCTTCCACTGTTGCAAATATGGAAACTTGAATGAGTTCAAACAGAACGAGAGATGTACTGGTTCAGGGTGTTCAGGGGAGGACTGAATGGGCAACGGTGCAAAACACAGGGTGACCGGTGAGTTCGAGAATAACCAGACCCAGGACCTGAGCGCCAACAGAACATTCTTTCATCCCGGCTGTCTGCCTCTTTTTAAGCCCGTTGCCTTACTCTCTCCTTACAGATCAGCTTTTTTCATGTAGCTGTTTCCCAGACGACCTTCTAGCTCCATACAGTTCAGATCTTGTTTTTTCTCCACTCCTCACATTCACCTCCAGCTCTGGGTCCTAAAGAACATGTAGGTATCACCAAATGACCTTGGCCCTGCATCTTGGTCTCACAAAACTAGGTGTGTCAGCTCATTGGGCAGTAATGGAAGGTCCAGAAGCCATTCCTACTCATGGGTGGCTGTCAAGTACTGTACAGGAAGCCAGGTATGGTGATACAGCACATCTGTAATCCCAGCACCCAGGAGGCTGAGGCAGGAGGATTGCTGTGAGTTTGAGGCCAGCTTGGGATACATAGTGAATAATGAGTTCAAGGCCAGTCTGAACTAAATAGCAAGACTGCATCAAAAATGCTGATGGATGGGGGCCAGGGATTTAGCTCAGTGGTGTCACTGCTGCCTCGCAAGCCGGAGCTCTGGAGCTTGATCCCTGGTAACAACACAACAACAAAAATGCTGATGGCCTTTCCTCCTCCACTTGATAAAAAGAGACAAACAGTAGAAAAGAAGAAAAATACGGCTGGAGATTTAGCTCAGTGGTTCTGCCGCCTGCCTCGCAAGCGCAGAGTCCTGAGTTCAATCCCCATACAAAAAAAAAAAAGAAGAAAAATCTCATCCATTTCAATGTAATCAAAATTTTTTTAGTGAATGAATGAAAATAACAGTAAAAACACAAGAAAAAACCAAAATGTCTAAAAGTAGAAACTGGCTAATTAAAAGATGTTGTTAGGCCATACAAAAAAGGAATAGATGCACAGATTGTAACAATGTGAATAAGCACTTACGAAAAGAATTAGGTGTGAAAATCCACAGATTTATATAACCATGACTTGGTTGAACTAAAAATATATACAGATTAGGAAGTACACATGAAGGGAAAATAAATCTATTATGTCAGAATTGTTGGCTTAAAAAAAAAAGCTTAGAAACAGATTCAAAATGTAGCAGGTATAAAATAATACAAACAAAAAGAATGATCTCTATAGAAAGGATTAATGAAATTTTAAGTAATGAGTTACGAAATTATATGTATATTATATAATACATATATAAATTATATATATACATTTACACACACATATACATATATGTGTGTGTGTATATGATGGCTTTTATGTTAAAATTTAATTAATGTGGACCAGGCATGGTGGTGCATGTCTCTAATTCCAGCACGCAGGATGTGGAGGCAGAAGGATCACTGTAAATTTGAGGCCAGCCTGGGCTACATAGTGAGACCTTGTCTAAAAAAAAACAGAATTAATGTGATTGTATATATAAGAAATTGTATGGGAGCCAGGCGTGGTAGCACATGCCTATAATCCCAGCACTCAGGAGGCTGAGGCAGGAGGATCACTGTGAGCTCGAGACCAGCCTGGGATGCATAGTGTGTTTTAGATTAGTCTCAAGTACGTAGTGAGACCCATTCTCCAAAAAACAAACAAACAAAAATAGAAATTGTATGGCAACGAACACTTCTTATTAACTCTGAATGGCAGGATAATGGTAATTTTTACATTTTATATTTATGTATTTGTTTGGTTTTGTTTGATACAGGGGATCGAACTCAGGCCCTTGGGCTTGCGAGGCAGGCGGCGGCACCACTGAGCTAAATAAATCCCTGTCCATGAGATGGGCCTTTTTAATTTTTATGTCTGTGATAACGAGAATTGAACTCAGCTCCTCAAGAATAGTAAGCAAGTGCTCTACCACTGAGCTACACCCCCAGCCCTATAATCAGGCTTGAAAACATCACTTTCAATTTTTTTTTAAGTCCTAATGCAGCAGACATTAGGTAATTAGATCAATCATATTTGACCTTCTCCCAAATGTTTCATAAAGCAAGAATGATGAGTATTTTACCCAGCAGCTGTGGTGTACTGGCTTATTTTTTCCAACTATTCTACATCTGCCTGTAATTAGATTATATGCCCAGCTCCCTTGCCTTGAGATTTTTCAGAGCCTCTCATTGGGCGGTAAGCACCGCGCGCGCACACACACACACACACACACACACACACACACACACACACCCCTTTGGGCGTGGCCATGTGACGCCTTGGCCAATGGAATTCGAGCCAGCAGGAAGTACACTGTCTTCTCTGAGGCCCTCGAGATTTGGGTGGTGTAGTTTGGCCTCTTGCCCTTGGAGCATCCTCGTGAGGAAAGCATAGCATTCAACAATGACTTTTTCTTAACCAAGAACAAGAGACACCTGAATGGAGGTCAGCTGCCCTGTGGAGCCCTAGTTGACTCTCGGACCTCTGAGCAGGAGATAAATGTTTGCTGTTGTCCATGACTGAGTTTCTGGGCTGTTTCTTACGTAGCATTGCCACAATAAAAATCTGACTGATACTCCAGACACTGCATTCACTCCTTTCTGGGCTTGTTCTTTTCTTTTTTAATTTTATGAAGATAGTGGTGGTAGTGGGGTAATACCTCTCCTCCTTTGCCTAAGATTGAAGGGTTTCCCAAAATTAAGACTTTTTCAAGTATTTAAATGATGGTAAAGAAAGAAAGAAAGGAAGGAAGGAAGGAAGGAAGGAAGGAAGGAAGGAAGGAAGGAAGGAAGGAAGGAAAGAAAGAAAGAAAGAAAGAAAGAAAGAAAGAAGGAAGGAAGGAAGGAAGGAAGGAAGGAAGGAAGGAAGAAAGAAAGAAAGAAAGAAGAAAGAAAGAGCGATGGGGCTGGGGATTTAGCTCAGTGGTTCTGCCACCTGCCTCACAAGCGCAAGGTCCTGAGTTCAATCCCAGGTACCAAAAAAAAAGATGATGGCCGTGATTCTATCTACCTTTCGGGTATTGTGAACAGAGCTGCTATGAACATTTGTGTACAGTTTTCGTTTTAACATCTGTTTTCAATTCTTTTGGGTCTCTGCCTACAGTGGAATTGCTGAGTGATACGATAATTCTGTTTAACTCACTGAGAGACTGCCAATTGTTTTTCCACAGCTGCTACATCATGGGTTCCCACCAGCAGCACATGAGGAATCCAGTTTCTCCGTATCCTTACCAACATTTGTTATTGTCCATCTTTATACCGCAGCCATTCTGGTGGGAGAACAGAGGTGTCGGAATGGTTTGCTTTTGCATTTCCATGGTGACTGACAACACAGAGCATCTTATCATACGTTTGGGGCCGTATCTTCTTTAGTCTTTTTTAAATTTTTTCATTTTTTATTTATTTAAAATTTTTTCCAGTACCAGGGATTGAACTCAGGACCTTGCACTTGCAAGGCAGTCACAGCACCACTAAGCTAAATCCCCGGCCCAATTTTTTCTTTTCTTTTTTTTTTTTTGTACTGGGGATTGAACTGGGGACCTTACACTCCCAACTTTTTGCTTTTTTGCGACAGAGTCTCACTATGTAGTTCAGGCTGTCCTTGAATTCATTATGTCGTCCAGGCTGGCCTCAAACTCATGGTGATCCTCCTGCCTCAGCCTCCAGAGTGCTGGGATTACAGACATGCACCACCACGCCTGGCCACGTTTATTGAAGTCTTTTGCTCCTTTTGAAAATTGAGTTATCAGTCTTTGTATTATGGAGTGGTAATAGTGCTTTGTTTTATCTTGAGACAGGGTCTTGCTGTTGGGTCAGGCTGGCTCCTGCCTCAGCTTCCCAAGAGTGAGGATACAGGCATGCATCACCATGCCCAGCGGGTGATCAAAATATAGGGTGCGTGTTTCAATTTTTAAAAATTATTACAGTAAAAGACGTTGCTGTGCCATTAATCTCCCTCAAAGTAACCCTTGTCACTGGGCATGGTGGTACATGCCTGCATTCCCAGCACTCAGGAGGCTGAGGCAGGAGGATCATGGCAAATTTGAGGACAGCCTAAATTATATAGTGAGTTTGAGACCAGCCTGAACTACATAGCAAAATCCTGTCTCACAAAAACTAGTAATAAAAATAACAAGAACAGCAACAATAATAACAATAATGATAATGATTATCCCTGTCACTTCAAACACACTTATTCCATCACTTATTTTATTTTGGTACGGGAACTCGAACTCGGGTTCTTGCACTTGGGAGGAAGTAGGTGGCAGCACCACTGAGCTACATCCTGAGCCCTGTTCTGTCATTCTTGCCACTTTCTTTTTCTTTCTTTTTTTTTTGAGACAGTCTCACTGTGTAACACATTCTGGTCTCGAACTCACTGTGGGGCCCAGGCCAGCCTCAAACTCACTGTAACCCTCCTGCCTCAGCCTCCTGAGTGTGGGGATTATAGGTGTGAACCACCACACCAAGTTCACTTTTCTACTAAATTAGAATCTGGAGGGGGCTGAGGATTTAGCTCAGTGGTTCTGCTGCCTGCATTGCAAACACAAGGACCTGAGTTCCATCCCTGGTACCAAAAAAAAAAAAAGAATTTGGAAGATTCTAGGAATCTGTATTGATTTATCTATTTAAAATTTTTTATTTATGTGTGTATGTGATTATATATATATATGTATTATGTATATATAGTTATACTGTATATATATTTTTTGCAGTGCTAAGGGCCTGCCAGATTGTAGGCAAGCACTCTACCACTGAGCTACACCCTCAGCCCCTGTATTTTTTGTTTTTTATGGTATGGAACTTGAACCCAAGGCCTTCCACATGCTATGCAAGTAAGTAAGCAGTCTACCATTGTATACCCCAGCCCAGGGATCGAACTCAGGTCCTTGTACTTGTGAGGCAGGCGGCAGAACCACTGAGCTAAATCCCCGCCCAATTTATATATATTTTGAGACAGGATGTCACTAGGTTGCTCAGGCTGTTGTTTTTTGTTTGTTTGTTTGTTTTTTTGGTACCAGGAATTGAAGTCAGGACCTTGTGCTTGCAAGGCAGGCAGCAGAACCACTGAGCTAAATTCCTGGCCCTCAGGCTGGTTTTGAATTTGTGATCCTCCTGTTTCAGCCTCCTGAATAGCTGAAATTATAGGTGCACATCATCACATCCAGTATCTTCTTTTTTTTTTTTCACACCCAGCTTTTTAAAAAATATTATTTTTACTATTTCTATTTCTTTCAATTTTGATATGGAGTCTGGCCATGTTGCCCAGGATGGTCTCAAACTCTTGGGCTGAAGTAATCCTCCTGCCTTAGCCTTCTCAGTGCTGGGACCACAGGTATGCACCACCATGCCTGTCTCTGGAATCTGTATTTATACAAGCACCATAGGTGATTCCTTATGTACATTAATATTTGCAAACACTGAATTAGGAGAGTTTTTTTCAGAAGGAACTTACTTTGTAAAAGGAGCAGAGATTATAATTGTGGTTCCCTCAGATCTTCCCTTGTAGCACCCAGGAATGTGACGTATGACAAACCTCAAGGTTGTCTTCAAAGGCTCTCTTCTTCTGGTGCACAGGTTCACCTAGCGAGCTTCCTCCTTAGTCACTAAGGAAGACCCCACCCATTTGTATAGGAGGAGGCTTCACTTCCGGATTCCTCCCAGCATCCTGTTGTCTAGAGCTGGGTCCCGGAAGGACGCCATGTTTGCTTCCTGCCACCCCAGGGCACTTGGTGACGCCTGGTTCCTAGACCTAGGTCAGGAAGGAGCACGGAATACCCACCAATTTCAGGTTTGAAGAGCAAAGGCCATGGGGCCTGCTGGTTCACATAAGGCTTTTTTAATAAGCACATCTTCGGGAAAAATCCCCCTAAAAGTTTCTGGAAGCGATAAGTATAATGTGTGTCCTGCGCATGGTTGTGGACTTATCTCTTTAGATAGGGTTTCTTCCTGCGCTTCCTGGCTCTTTGGAGCATCATAAATCCATACCTTCTCTCAGTATCTGGCTCACTTCCCGGGGAGTGATAGCAGCTTTCGATACATCCTCTTGATTTAGCGCTTTCTCTCATGAAGCCGATAGTGGTGGGATTGGAGTCTGGTAATTCCGCCTGCTCTGGATGGGGAACATGTGTAGGAGCTGCCTTCAGCCTCCCAAGGGCAGAGGAATGGCCCGTCCCAGGCTGGCTCTCATGGATTTGGTGCTTTCTCTGCCCTGCTTCTAACCCTTTTATGACACCCAGCTAATGCAGGATAAAGTCCCAACTAACTAGCTTCACATCTCTGCCTTTGGTGAGTTGGCCCCTGCTTGTCTCCTGGACTTTTCAGTTGCAGATCATATGAGCCAGGTGCAAACTGAGTCGAGTAAAAAACAGGAAGCATTGGCTTTGGACCTAAAAAGTCCTGGGTTACACTGGCACAGCTGGTTCTGTGCTTACCTGGAATGCTGGATCCCTCCGCCCCTTAGCTTGTCCTTGGCATTGGCTTTATTTGAGGCAGCTGCCTGGGGGGGGCAGAGGTGAGTGCCAGAGCGACCTCAGACTGGCCAACTTGTGGTTCAGCAGGCTTGACAGACAGTGACTGCATCCTGTCTGGTACAGCCCAGAAGCGGCCCAAGGATGACTGTTCCTAGTGTGGCCGGGTGACGGGCCCGCCCTGGAACCATTGCTGTGGGTTTTTTGTGCATCTTTACTTAGACTCAGAGCGGTGGGGTCACCCCTCTGGAGTGGCTTTGTGAGAGAGATGTGGGTGGGGAGAAGGCTGTGTATGATGTGTGCCGTCACCTGTCACATCGCCTGTGCTTCCTGGCTGGCTGCATCTGGGTTTTTTTGTTCTGCAGTGCTTTGAGGAGAGAGGAGGAGGCCCTCGCTGCTTGGACCCAGGAGATGAAATGTAGCTGGGCTGAGCCTGGCGCTGGAACCCTGCTCCTTTTGTCTTGTTTGGGTTACCCGTTTGCCTGTGACCTCGCTCCACCGATACGGTCGCCTGCAGAGGAGGGCACCTGTGTGTTTGTCTAAGTGCTTTGCTCATTTTAAAAACTGGGTGTTTGTCCTTTTGTTCTTGAGTTGTAAAAATTCTTTACTCATTGTATATAGGAGACCCAGGTTAGATATACAGCTTGTAAACTTCTATTTTGTGGAATGCCTTTGGTAGGTTTTATTTTGTTTCATTTCATTTCGTTTTGTTTTTGAGACAGGGCCTCCTTATGTAGTTCAGGTTGGCCTTGAACTCAATATATAGTGCAGGCTGGCCTCAAACTCATGGTGATCCTTTTACCTTAGCCTCTCGAGTGCTGGGATTACAGGTGTGTGCCACCATGTCTGTCTTACTCCAGTCCCTTAAAACTTTTTTTTTTTAATTAAAGATTGAAAACATACATGACAACAAGAAATGAAGATACCAAATAAAAATTTCAAATGTACATATAAATGACAGCAAAAAAAGATATGAAATAAACAAAAATTTATGTAACACAGACTAATAATCGAAATACATTGTTAGTTTGACATGATCTTCAAACATTATGTTCTTTCTCATTTTCTTATCATATAATATTTTTGAAATAGTGTAATTACAAATAAAACAAAGTTACATATTATAGTTGAGAAACTGTCCACAAAATTTCATGATTTATAAACTCCTTGGTTTTATGAATTGATAAATATCATATGCTTGTTGATTGCGCCACAGTCCTTTAAAACTTTTTTAAAAAGTTTTAGACAGGCTTTCTTGGAGTCTCTAAGTTGCCCAGGCTGGGTTTGAACTTGTGGTCCTCCTGCCTCAGCCTCCCAGAGTGCTGGAACCCAGGGCCTTGCACATGCTAGGCAAGTAGGCAAGCACTCATGGGTGTGTGCCACCATGCCCTGCAATAATAGTGTTCTCTAGTGCACGAAAGTTTTAATTTTGATTAATTTTGATTAATATTGAAAATTCTTTATCTATTTTTTCCTTTGTTGCTTCTGCGTTTGTCCAGCTATCATTGCCAAATGCAAGGTTGTGAAGATTTACCCGTGTGTGTACTTCAAAGCATTTTATAGCTTTGGCTGTCACATTCAGACACTGATACAGTTTGAGTTATGATTAGTCAGCTTTTTGTTGCTGGGACCAAATATGCAATGCGTACAACTTAAAGGAGGTTTATTTTTTGCTCGTGGTTTCAGTCCACAGCTGACTGGTTCCAAGGCCAGTGGACATCTCGGTGGAGTAGAGCCACTTTACTTCCTTGTGGCTAGAAGCGACTCAGTTGAGGGAGTGGCCGACTGTGAGGAAAGGTGTAGGACCATGGTGGCAAGCCTTCGGCACGTGTGCCACAGAGAGCACACGGAGCCCTCTCTGGGCCAAGTCAAGTCGCCCCAGCGGCTTTTTCTAAACTAAAGCCTCAGTATTCAAGTATAATTTCAGGGTTGGCGCCTTGCGATAAAGTGGGTTTGGGGTTGTAGTTTGGGCACTTGGTCTCTAAGAGCTTTGCCATCACTGGTCTAGGAGAAAAGGCCTAAGAACCAGGGAGGTCCCCACAGTTATGCCCCGTGGTCTACCCGGACACGGGTTGAAGTCCTTTCATGAGTCTGCTAGGGGTGTGTTATGGCTCAGATCTAGACGTCCCCGAAAGCCTCTGTCCTCCTGGTGGGGCCTGTGGGAGGGGCTGGGTCTAGGGTTTGTGACTCTCCACGAGGTGTATGATAACTCGATGGGGTCAGCATAGTGCTGGGTGTGGACAGTGTAAGCCCCACCCTTTGTGTGAGTGGCACCAACCAGTAGGCTCATAACTGGATGGGATGAAAGCGAGGCTTGCTTCTCTGCCGCTTTCTGCCTGCCTGCTGTGTTTCTCCTCTGCCAGGCCGCCCTGCCTTGGAGCCAGCTGACTATGGACTGAAACCTCTACAAACTGGGCCAAGATAAACCTCTTTTGCTTTAACTTACGGGTGTCAGGTATTTTGTCTCAGCAATGAAAAAAGTAGCTAAGACAAGACTTTTTACATTCCCCTCTCTCTTTTTTCCCCTCCTCCCCTCCCTCTCCCTTTCTCTCTCTCTCGTACTAGGGATTAAACCCAGAACTTTCACACTGAGCTAAATCCCCAGCCCCCCCCTTTTTTTTAATCTTTTATTTTGAGACAGAGTCTCTATAAGTTACTAAATTGCCCAGGCTGGGCTTAAACTTGAGATCCTCCTGAGTCAGCCTGCCAGAATACTGGGATTACAGATGTGCACCACCACACCTGGATGTTAGGCATATGTCTTACTCCATTCGTGCTGAGAATCATGATTAATGATCATAATTATAATGAATGGTCACAAGTTAATTTTTGTACATGGTGTGAGGTTAATGTCAAACATCATTCATTTTCATGTACAGTGATCCTAGTACCCTTTGTTGAAGAGATTATTCTTTTCCTATTGAATCTTATTGGCACCCTATCAGAAATCAAGGATCAGAGCCACATGCAGTTGTGTATATCTGCAGTCCTAGCTGTTTGGGAGGCTGAGGCAGGAGGATGGCATGAGCCGAGGAATTTGAGGCTAGTCTGGGCAACATAGTGAGACCCTATCTCTTTTTAAAAAAATCAATGGTATATATTCATATGGAGAGAGGTTTATGTCTAAACTCTGTTTTATTGCATTGATCTATATAGCTCTATTTATGCCAGAACCGCATTGCTGTGTGTACTGCAGCCTTACAGTAAAGTCTCAACAATGGGAATTGTGAGTCTTCCAGGACTGTTCATTTCCCACGCCATTTCAGCTATTTGGAGATGAGCCTTACTCCTCCTGCAGAACTTCAATGTGAAGTCACCGAAAGCCTTTATTGTTTAAATTGCTTTTTGTCAGTGTTCTGTTCCCTACAGCCAAAATTCCTTCAAAATATAAAGAAGGAACCAAGGCTGCATGGGTGAAACCAACACCCGCCCACAATGGCTCCACAGTGCCCTTGCTCCTGCCCTCGTCCTCCAACACTGTTTTTTTTTTTTTTTTTTTTTG